AATTATGAACTTATTTATATGTATTTATATTAATAATAACTCATTATTACTTACAATTTCAGTATTTTCTTCCACAGTTGTCATTTTTGAACCGTAGTTAGGTTATGTCGGTAAGTATATATTAATGAGAACTACAAAATAATGAAGGTCTATGAAAGTAAATTAATGACTGTTTTATACACTATTCATTAATTATAGGATGAACTTAAAATAATACAACATAAAATATTATAGTGAAACACAACAGACGCCACACACCAAAGAATGAAAATGAATGAATGAAATGAACAAAAAGGAATTGCTATTTGAATGAAAAAAAAATACTGCCATTCGACAGCTACCTCTGCGTTATTTGATTTATTTACGCATGCACCAAAGAACTTCTAGTAGAAGAATATATTGTATTTCATGAGAAAATTGATGCACTTTTAGTAATAATTGGCTACTAATTATATTTAAAACAATTGCATATAATAATATTAGTTCCATTGTGATTTTTAATCTGTTATAATTTTTTGACAAAGTTAAAGTGACATTTCTATTATTTTCTATCTATTTGTTTGACATTTGTGTTTGTAAGCCGAACTGAGGCGGTTTCCGAGTTTTACAGCAAAATAAACAAAAATGCTGTTCTATTCCTTCTTCAAATCGCTGGTGGGGAAAGATGTAGTAGTGGAGCTGAAGAACGACCTCAGTATATGCGGTACATTGCATTCTGTTGACCAGTATTTGAACATAAAACTGTCGGATATCAGCGTGATTGATCCTGAGAAATATCCTCACATGTTATCAGTGAAGAACTGCTTTATCCGTGGTTCTGTGGTACGTTACGTGCAGCTTCCAGCTGATGAAGTCGACACCCAGTTACTCCAAGACGCAGCGCGTAAAGAGGCCACAGTTTCTACAAGATAAAAATCATAACCTCTTTAGTTGATTTTATGGTGTTTTTGGACTACAAAGTGCGTGTGTACATACTAATTTAAGTATAAACTTCTCAATAAAGTCGATGTGAGCTTTTGGTAACAACTCATCTTTTATTTAACTCGTCGAGTACCGGTTTTGTAGACACAATTATAGAACAATAGGTTGCGGTCACCGGTGACCGCTTGGTGTTTGACAGTTTAACCTTTCTTTTACAGTGTTTTTATACCTACCTATTATTTACATATAACTTTTATAATCTCAGTGGTAGCACGGAGCCTGGAATTGTGCCCGGTATATGGCAATAGACTCACCCCTATTACATGGGACTCATAACATAAATAGTGAAAGTGGATGTTACATTGTAAAGTGCCGTAATGCGCACCTCTACCTACCCCTTGGGGGATTAAAAAGTGTGATGTTATGTTTTAACCCATGATCATCCCACTGCAGGGCAATGAATGATTACAACGTTAATTGTGGCGTATAATTATTATCTCTTAGTTTAAAGGGGGGTAAGGTCTGTTCTACATCACACAGCAAAGTGATACATTTGATGAGAAATGCTATCTTTAAAACAAGTTAAATAACTTTTATTACTGTCAAATTGATCTAGTCAGCACAGGTATATATGCAGGTAAGAAAATAAAAATTCAGTACAGAGACAGTAACCATTGGTTGACTACTGAACACGATGGTAACAGAAGATGTGGCTTGGTAATCTTATACTATTATATAAAGCGCTACGCTACGCTATAAAACATCATGCTACAACTAATAGAAGCTAAGCAGAGCATGTGAAACTGCGTAAAATTTAGTATAATAATGGTTACTGTCTCTATACTGGGTCAATATTTTCTTACTTGCAAATTTAGTTGTCCAGTCAGAACTGGACACTTCTTTGCAAATAAGACTACAATTTTGTCCATCTTGTACCAATTAAAGTACAGATTTTGCTTCCCAAGCTATTACCTACCTATGTTTATTTATATTTGGTGGGCTGATGTTTGACCTAGTGGTCTATCTGAGGTAGACCAAAAGGTCAATCTACCACCGGTTATTCCCGTTCGTCACCCCAAGCTTTGTCCCCTCCGGTGACAAGTGGGAATTATATTGAAAAAAAATCCCATATGTCACCCCCAGGTGACGAATGGGATTCCACTTAGAAATCATCCCAGTCGTCACCGCTAATAAAAGCTTGCTAAAACCATAGTTTTACATTGCGAATGGAAATTTGTTTTTGAACTAAATAATACAATAAAATTAGACAGCCAAAACTTTTTATTTGCTTTTATTTTCAAAATCAGGTTCTAAAACTTTTTATTTGCTTTTATTTTCAAAATCAGGTTCTAAAACTTTTTATTTGCTTTTATTTTCAAAATCAGGTTCTAAAACTTTTTATTTGCTTTTATTTTCAAAATCAGGTTCTAAAACTTTTTATTTGCTTTTATTTTCAAAATCAGGTTCTAAAACTTTTTATTTGCTTTTATTTTCAAAATCAGGTTCTAAAACTTTTTATTTGCTTTTATTTTCAAAATCAGGTTCTAAAACTTTTTATTTGCTTTTATTTTCAAAATCAGGTTCTAAAACTTTTTATTTGCTTTTATTTTCAAAATCAGGTTCTAAAACTTTTTATTTGCTTTTATTTTCAAAATCAGGTTCTAAAACTTTTTATTTGCTTTTATTTTCAAAATCAGGTTCTAAAACTTTTTATTTGCTTTTATTTTCAAAATCAGGTTCTAAAACTTTTTATTTGCTTTTATTTTCAAAATCA